CGGGTCACCGGAGGCAGCCTGTCTTTCAAAGGTTTTGCGAATAAAGACTTGTTGTAACATACTATGCGTAGGTGAGCCGCGAAATAGGTCTTTTCAACAGTGTCTCTCAGGCGTTTGGACAGGGCATCAGCCGCAATGTCGCCTTGGAAGGAATGTGCACAATTTTTCTTTATTGGACACGTTCATTTTCGGTGGCTCGATATTGCGTACTTTCAAATGTTTTGGGATGAATTTATCTGGATACCCATTCGCTCTTAGCGCATCGCTGATTCTCTGCAATTCCTTGGTGATTGTGTCCGGGGTGCAAATTCTATGTGCCCGGAACGAAAGAGTGCGGACTAGGTTTCGTTTGTACTGTATGGGTACCGCACTATAGAAGTTGATGTACTGTCCAGTCCAAGTTGGTTTTCTATACACCCCTCTGCTGCACGATCCATCGGCGTTTCTGATGATATCAACATCCAGGAACGGTAGTCGGTTTCTGGATTCGTGCTCACATGTGAAATGTAGATTCTGATGCGCATCATTAAAAGCTTCCAACAGTTTCACAGTCTGCGCTTTCGATTTGCAGAGTATAAATGTATCGTCTACATAACGTATATACATCTCGACTTCGTTGATGTGCGTTCTTAATACGTTATGCTCCAATTTTGCCATAAAGACATCTGCTAGAAAGGGTCCCAATGGTGAGCCCATGGCAACTCCATCAATTTGACGATACATCTCCCCGTTAAAGGTGAACTGCACGTTTAAGGTGCATCTAAGTAACCATTCCTTCAGGAGGTTTTCCGGAAAATCTATAGGCACATTCCGTTACCGTACTAGTTCGCAGACATATTCTACTGTTTCCAACGACAGAATATTCGTAAACAACGACTGCGCATCAAAAGACGACATCCATCTGTTGTTAAGGTTCACTTCCCTTATCTTCAATTTGACTTAACACCACTCGAGAAGGAATAACAATGCAATGGGGCATTGCGATTGAATGGACGAATGTCTCACATTCTGCAGAGGGACCAAAGTGAAAGTGTCAAAATGACAAGTAAGGAGATGAATATTAAATATGTACGTATATGTGCATATCTATGTGTACATATATGCAGACTCTCGAGAAAGTTCACAAGAAGACGGGTCAAATCTCATGTTCGTGTTCGTAATCGAAAGAAAAAGTTATAGAAGAGGTACAATTGGCGTGGTTATCAAATTAGAAAGGGGAAATCCGCTTCTAGAGGTAATAGGTTTTTCTCCAAATTGTTCCAGACTTGAGATTAAAAGATCCAGATTCAGGTATCCAGGTGTCGCTCAGTTGTAGGTGCCACACAAGGGTGTAGAGCGAAAGAAGAGTTGTTGGAACATGCTGATGATTAAGTGAAATAAATAAATAAATAACAAGGATTTATTCTCGGCAATGTGAAACACACACATCAAGGTATGATCAACGAATCAGTCTTGTACCATACGTTGAACACAAGATGATTGGAAAAATGTAAAAACGATAAATCGGTTTTTGATGCAGAGATAGAAAGGAACGATACATCGAATGGTATCAAGAACACGGTCTAAGGAGTTTGTGGGTAATATCGGTAAGACGATATGTAGGTACAGAAGGAAGAATAGTAAGAAAGATCAAGTGAAATAATACAGTCATCCGTGGAACCGTTTCCTTGGTACTCACTTCCATGCGGGGTTTCATCCACACCTGCACGCCCCATCTGGTCTTGTGCTGGCGTGGCTTAATAGCAGGTTAGCCAGCACAGATGTTACTATTCATTCGAGCTATTGTTCCCTGTTTTCATAAGCTGCTCACTTGATCCACTCAGCCCATTCGCTGATCATTCGATTTTGGCGGGCACGGTAACCCTGTACACCTGATTTAGCAGTATTTGGCACCACATTTGAATGCAACAGTTCAGAGTGTATTGCTTTCTTCGCCACTCTTTAGATCTTGCACACCTTTGTATATTCGTCAGTATGTCATCGGATATCTACCTTGCAAATTAAACATTCCGCTTGGAAGCTTCAAATTACCACCGCAGGAGATCGGCGCAGTCGTAACCAAAAAATGAAAAGAACAAAGTGCACCAAGCTAAAATAAGAGCATATGGATAACGATGAAAGAAACAAACTAATATCTTATCCCGTGACAGTGCAAGAGTTCACCGTATCGGTTGGTTTGCTGTGTTAACAGGTTGATCATCAATCTATTAATGGGACTGACAGTTCCCATGCAAAGTTTCTCATCGATCCCACAGTTCTAGACAATAGGGAAACCTTGATACTTGTGTTCTCAATGCGTTACCAATTGCTGGTTTGTTCCATGGAGTTCCTTACAAAAGTTACATTCACCAAGAATCACACCAAGTGTTTAGCGACAAGAGACGCAGAGTAGGGCCAGAATGAATTTCAGTATGAAAGGCGTATTGCATCTCCGAAACGGGGCATCTAAGAAGAACAAACCAGTATTTGTTAGTTGAGAGCGGACGTAATGCACAATGGTGGAATGAGTAAAGCAGTTGGTAAGAATAAAATCGTTTGTAAAACATAAACATAGCTCTTACTTAACGGGGCCTTTGTGCCAGTTGAACAATGAACAATGAATTTATACGGCTTAACGATCACTGCTTTACAAGTCCGGTTTGGTTGTTTGGTGGAATTATTAAAAAGTATTGGTACCAGGTTTCAATTTATGATGGATTATCATTGAGAGTTCCTGGAAGTAACAATCCGCTACTGATCAGTGTTATATATTGTACCGTGACTTTGTGCTTTCTCCCGAGATTCTTACTCGAAAATACACGGCTGTTCCCCTGTGTTACACAGTTCAAGACCTGGGTTGGAGATATTTTGCCTTATTTAATTATCACGAGCAGGTTATAATCTTGCAGGCTTCTGCCGGAAAAACGAACACCTACATGAACAGAATTCTTAACTTGAGGATCTCCTGAGTTCAAGCCTTTAAGTTATGCCTTAGGACAAAATTTAATGTAATTGTCCGGAAATCTGAGAAACTTGGATATCATAACTCTGGAAACATCAAACGATCAATCACAAAGTGCTTTTTGAGCACGCCTAATATTATACATTACCGTGAGCACTGCGTTGCTCTAGGACTGGAGCCGCTACGGTTGCTCAAACTCAGACTTAATCTAGGCCTTCTCTCTCGCTTACCATTTGGATTAAGCCTGACAGTTCAGTTTCACCTAGAGTTGTAAACTCCCAAAGAATATGAAAAAAGAAATAGTGAACGCATGCTACATACGCAAAAGTCTCGTACCATGCACCGCATAAATTTTTACGCAATGAAAAATGTTACATTATGGAATAAACTTCCATCGAATATAGGAAAGTGCAGTACCTATCCGCAATGCAAAACATGATCGATATTCACCTGGCTGTTTCGAATATCTTGTCAACACAACCAAAAGTTGACCCTAGTCGATCTGTATCATAAGGTCCTGGATACGTGTGAAAGATGCCATATCCCTTCACTGCCTCAATACTATATTTTTACCTGCGCAATGTGACAAACAATCTAAATCCATTGGCATGGGAGAGGGAAAATGCTTAAAAACGAATACAGTCAAACCTGTCTAAGGTGCCCCTCAAGGGACCGACAAAATGTGGTCAGGTGATTGCCATAGTACGTTGGACTATAATAACACCACCTGATAATTGTCTAAAACAAGCATATTATCTAGTTGAGTATAAATATGACTATACTGAGGGTGATATAAATATGAGAAATAACGCACCTGTAGAGGAACAGTGTAAAAACGATTTGAAAACATCGAAATTGGCGGTTTAATAATGCCGCCCAGTATTGTTTATGTGCATGCCATGAGAATCCTGAGGGCGCACCAGTAGCACGACTATGAATAACCCGGCCTCGATGTAATGGGGTTTGTGGACAACCACACCTCCTGCATTGCGTTATAACGCCACGTGAAGGTTACGGGCTGTATCGCCTGAAATAAATATGCAACTGTATTGTCAACTCACCCTTCGATATGGTGAGGGCAGACATGTGATCCGAATGGCGCTTCCCTGGATGAAATACTAGGACGAGTGAAAATCTAGTCCACATTCCAACCGATTATAGTGTGTCGGCAACTTAAGTTGATAATCCCACAAGTTCCTGTTTTGGTTGAGTTTCAATTGCTGGCGGTAAGTCTAATTGGGTTTTTCAGAATCTGATACGCCAACGTGAGGATTAGTCCAAGTTCCATGAGGCCCACGGTATATTCTAAGGGCTTTCTTTCTTCTTAAATTGGTGTACGATTAAAAAAGCCCTAACTTTATTATTTGATTTTCGTTGTTTTATTTAGTGCGAGGCGACCTTGCTTTTGTCGGGGCTGCTAAACTTGGATATCGTAATTTACGTGCAACATGACATAGGCCTTAGGTGTCTGAAGAGATGTAAAGGAACCGAAGGGCCCGAAATCCCTCCGCAAGGGGACGAAATGCGAATTAGCAAACTGTTTATTCAGCACAGGATAGCATCACCTATTCCGTAGATCAGTTTTGAAACGGATAATCGGGTATTCCAAGTGAATACAGCCATCAAGTTCATTTCAGCAAACTCACCTTTATCCACGTTTCCTACCGGACGCGTCTAACCAGCAATGATAGCGGTTCGTGGTGCACCATTGATTTCAGGACACGTTTAAGAAGATTGCGACAAGCGAAATAAGCTTTTATTGTGGCGCTCTAACGCACCCAAGTAGGAACACGCATCTTAAAGCCACAGACGATTAATCCCTTTCGAACTTCCTGACGGTTAAGGAAATTACCGGCAAGGAGCATATAATTGCCATGCCTTATGCTTCGTTCAGTGAGCTTACTGTAAACAGAACTTCGGCTTACCAATCTATAGAGGAAGAAACTCAGCTCATAAGCTAATTAGATTCATCCTAATCCATTTGGCTGTCAGCGGAACAGAGGGATAATATTAGGTTATCCGTCTATTGATCTTCCATCAGGCAATCATAACAATTAAGGCATAACACTCGAGCTTCTTCTAAATGGCAGCTCTGGCTTTCAGTATTCATTCACTTGTAACTGACTGAGAAGCAAGATGGAGAAAGTCTATTGTACAAAGCATCACAGTTCGTTAGTCAATAGGCCAATAAGCCGGATTAAAGCTAACATAGTTCGTCTAATTGATACTGATGGTTTCATCCAGCTGTGCGGCATTCATCGCAAGTGTCTACTTTTTCCACAAAGGCGAATAGGCTTTTCCGCAGGCGAACTAATCAATGGTTATAGACAGGTGGCATCATCAGGAAAACGAATACGACGGACTCTCATACATAGCCTGGTCATAAACAAATTTTTCCCATTCGTTTTGAGAAGAATGTCCAAACACCTTTGTGGAACACACAATGGTCCGCTGTGGAATGTTGTTTGCTCGAATCCTTGCTGCTTGTTCGGTTTGTATAAGGAGATCATTGCTTCTGAAATAGCTGCAGACTCGGATTTCACAATTCAAAATTAATGCACAACTACACCACATTACATACAATCTGGAGGCAGTGTGTAATTAATGCTGGAAAGGTGGGAAGCATATGGCCTTATGGGACTCATTCGGTTCCTAAAGATTGGTGCATAATTATCGGGAATTCACACAGACGTGTATTCGGTGAACATTGCAATTTCATTGAATCAGCAAATCGGAAAATATTCACTCGCAGGAAACTAAACGAAGCTTGCGTCCATGCACAACACTGTTGACTGCGTTCCTCGATATGAAACAAAAACTGGAGAACAAGATTATTAGGGTTTCATTATCAGGCTACTACAACCCTACAACTCAGTCTAGAATGGACACAAGAAATTTAAATGCGGTGAGCCACTAAAGCAATGTATCTAACCGATAAGTTTATGTGATTGGTCTGGTTGATGTGTAGTCGGGTGATGTGGCGTAATCGCCAATGTTAATCGTGCTGGCCTATGGCCAAGGTAATGTTAGAGTTTGGATGAATATTTTATATCCAATCGCCTCTGCTGCCGTCAGTAGGCGGCATCCGACCGCTCGGGTGTAACGTCTGGGTATACAGTAGATTAGTATAACAAGCTCTTCTATTAACCCCGATTAACGTACCGTACTGAGTGGCAAAGTAACTGTGTATCCCCGTGACGGTGTCTTTGAGATACTGGTTTAACAACTGAAAATCATGTGTTCGGCACAATGTCACAGCTGACTTATTTGTCTTTGACTCGAATGTATGATGTTTTCGCTAAGTATGGTGTGGTGCCCTCTGGGCATATTCCTGGTTGAAGACATTTATAAACTATAGCTTCGGTCTAGTAACATTAAGTAGAAATTCAGAGGCACAAATTCAGTGTGTAAAGAATATCTGTCATATCGTTTGATAGCGGTTGCCTGGAAATGGAGTCAGGCACAGACAAACTGTACTATCGGTCTTCCGTAATAACATGCATTACAGATCATGCAGACGGTATAGAATCATTTGTCAGTCTGCACCTCAGCTTGCAGAGGAATAGGGAAGCCCCAAAGTGTCATAGAGATGTATGCATCGTTAAAATCTCCCTAAATACCGCAGTATAAACCATTGCAATGCCTAGTGGTATGTCGTCGGTAAAGTTCGATGTGTAGGAATATTCCTTGCAACATTTTCTGGTAACAGGTAGCGCGAATGGTCTAATGAATTATGGATGCCGAAACGGAGTGACGATTACGGTCGATCAATCAAACTAGTGACGACACCCAGCCCACTACAGGCTAGTAACAATGCGGAAATCGCCTCCTCTGTGGCTGCAGAAATAGGACAGGTCATACTTGGGTTTAATCTCGTGATGTTGGTGAGTCGTCGAGGCAGGATGCACGTGAACAGTTTGGAGTCACTGATGTTAAGTTTTGCATTTGGCACATCTAGCAAATATCGCCAAGATTTTGTCCGGGTTGCGTAACTGCAAAACAGCACTATTTTTAAGGCAGTGCCTCTTTTCCTCATGACGAGCAAAAGTGGAAAAGCTTCCGCGGTGGACTAGGGCATCCACTCTGACGCTTTCCCTCAGCTCAGCACTCGTATAACACACCTGAGGGCATTCTTGTAGCAGTTTCTGACACCGGCTTGCAAGGTAAGCTCAGGCAATTAAGCAACCTCGACTATACGTTGTTCGTGCGACTATCATCTCGTACGGTTCCATTTAAGTTGCACACATGCGGTTGTGTGAGCCAGCTGATGGTCATTGTTTCTCCCACAATCTTTAACAAGCTGATAGTTATAGCTTCATCTGATCCGGATTAAACCAGAAATCTGTGTCTACTTGGCCTTCAGAACTTACTACGGGGCTAAAAACTGTCACGACTGCACAACAGATGCTCTATTGTAGTTTCCGTTCATCACACAGCCAAAAAGCCCTTAGGAAAGCAACCGAAGGGTTGATGAGTAAACTAATTTGATAATTGATATAGTACAGTGAAACCGCAAATTGACCACTCAAGGGACTGGACCAAAGGGGTAAACATGTAGAGATTTCCAACACACAAAGATGGTCAACATACAAACTTTTGGATCCGTTTGGTTTACAATGTGAAGGTTCAAACAATGAAACATAAAACGGTCAACTTAAGCAGGTGACCAATCTACAAAGGCCGTCAACTTCGGTTACACTTTAGTTATAGCAGACTAGGAAGATAATCGCAATGACTGGGATGTAGGTAACAGTCGAATTGAGTTACAGGCCACAGTTTCATTTCAAGTGGCGCATGGGACAGTTTCAAACGGTCAGCGTTACAAGGTCTCACACGTAAGCGTCTGCCAATGATGAATGTGGGGTTAATTTGATGTTGATTCTCTGCCCCGTATCCGTATGCCGACACTCTTCAGACTGGTCTGGTTAAGACAGCCCGGCAAGCGCGTTAGAAATCTCCACCTCGTCAATTCTGTTCACGCATCTGTTCGCTTTGCTAATCTCAATCGCCTCGGTTGTCCGCCTTTGGGGTATCGATCGCAAACCCCTCCTAACCATGACGTTATCCAAGTCGATCTCATGACCTGCATTTCTCAAGTACATCAATACTGACGAATCACTTAGTAGAGCACTGCACTCAAGCACGTTCCTCGGCAGCAGTGCTACGCACAGCTTGTGTTCTGCTATCCTTGTGCGTAGCTCTTGCCATTTGGTCCATGTACACTTGTGCACAGTCTTTGCAACTAATTTTGTAGGCGCAATTAGTTGTCCTATTTGCGGAAAGTGGGTCCTTCAAGTGCATCATGGTCGATCGCAGTGTTTGGCCCTGCTGGAAAGTTGCCCTTATGTTTTCTTTGTTTAGGACTTTCTGAATGGCCGCTGAAGCTCCATCTTTATAACGAATTCCTATCGACCCAATCCACTCCGTAGTACGCCGTTGGTGTGGACTTGAAATTCCTTGCAAGTGGCTTTTCACTAACCACCTCGGGTGTCCACTACCAAGCAGTTGGTTTATTGCTTCTTTCCGGATGACCCTCCTATCTTCTTCCTCTATGCGCAGGGTCTGTGCTCTGGGAACGAGATATGAAACGACTTCAGCGTACAAGTGCTTTGAATGACCTGAACTATGGTGGAGTACACTATATGTGTCCATCGGCTTACGAAATATCCTTGCTTCTCGACAACCCCGTTCCTGTGCCCTAAGCAGTCAAGAAATGACAACGGGCCACTGTAAGGTTCAAATTCTATATTGAAAGTTGTAGTGTTCAAATGGCTCAGAAATTCGTCTTTCTTACCCTGCTTTATGATCACAAATGTGTCATCTGCAGAGAGCCACCAACTATCGGTGAGCTGCTAAAGTCGGTGGGCGCCCTCTATTCAAAATCTATGTACAAAATTGGCGAGAGCGGGGACCTTGATGATCCCATGGTAAGAACCTGTTCCTGAGTGCATAATGCCAACTGGAACGCGAAATATCACATGTTAAAGCACGGTACTCAGTCTATTAGTTGACCTACTGTAAGCTTCATCCTGTCTCCATACTTATTGTTCTCAATGGAACACTTTTGCCATTTCCAGCGCGTCACGTTTACACACGTTGGTAAAGAGCCAACTAACGTCGAAATTAACCATCAATCCATTCTACTCAATCTTAAGGTCATATACGTGGTTTTACCAGTAAACCAAAACTGCATAAAAGGAAGCAAACAACAGGAGAAAACGGTTCGAGTATGTATTTGGTCACACTGTAATACGTCTACCGATTATGATAAGAGAGTTTGCATAAGAGACTCAAGAGTCGGAAACCTCATCCACCCACGTAACCCGAACACATAATTAGACTGTCGTGCATTAAATCCAAAAATCTCCAGATTCCATATAATAAAACTGCGTTTCCGATCAACTTGTACTCATGCGGTAGCAGATATCGGTAACCTACCTAGGTGCCTTTAGGTCGTCATCCAGCTGAGCAACAACGTTTGCGCAAACGACAGTTGGTCCCACAGGTGAGTGACTGTCAAAAGCGTTCTACCTTGAAGGCGAATTTTTCTGATTTAGTAGAGCGCAGGAGAGTGAGCAAGCAAACTGATGTTCAGATAAAAATAGGAGCATGGTTCCGATTGTCACTATCACCTATAAACACTCACGTGGTGGTCATGATTGCTTGAATGCAGGATTGTCTGTTGTGTGGATAAATGCAATGTCACATCATCCTATTCAACCGGGGCTGGAATGGGGAGCTAAAGATTCAGCTACATTTCCAGGCAAAGATAAGCCAATTTTCTGTGCCACCAGCTCTGTTCTTGTTTCCTAGTTCGAAAGTTTGCCTATGTTGAGCGTGTGCGAATCTGAGTTGCACGGAAAAACGGCCAGGTTAGCAGCATTTGGCCCAACGTTCGTATGGGGATGTGTGATTGCAGGACTGTGTATGTAACCGGTCAAACCGCGCTTATCATGCCGATCGCAGCCATCAAGTCTCGAATACTATCAAGGACAACTATCGGCTGTCACCCCACCTACGGATAACTGAAACGGTGGGCAGACTAAACAATGCCAGAATTTTCACAGATAAAAGACCACTGGTGAACTTCAGTTAATTTACCCAAACATTCCACAGGAAGATGAGAAGGTGGGAATTGTGCACACACAAACAAAAACAGTGACCTGATAGCATAACGTCTCATATTGCCAATGATGCTAACATGCGGAAAGAAGCAGTTTCCTAATCAATGCACTAGAATGCAGGCGGGTGGCTGACGGGTCCAGCGCCGTAATTGTTCAACCCTGATTAAATTCTGATAACATTTAGACGTTTCGTTTAGTTCGCTCAGTTCAAGCGACGCGCATGAAGAGTACAAACAGACTGGAGATGATGTGTGTGCTATTAACTGAAGATGATGTCATGATGAGTTGTGTAACGGCATTTTGTTGCGCATCCTGGTATTCATTATCTGCTGTCAATTATTTTACAGAACATATGGGGCTAGTGGAAAATCTCGGACCAACGCGCTCTTCGTAGTACTAAAATGGTTAGTTGAAATACTGAAAAGTTGCAAACATTATGTAAGTAGTAACCAATGATTCCACAGCAAGCACAGCTCGTGACGTCGCGTACCGAATCGAGGGAAAATACGGGC